CTGTGCGTCACCAGCACTGGTATCCATGCCTTCCCGGTACAACATGGGGAGTGCACTGGGTGGGGCCAGCTGTTTTTACCTAATTCTCCTCTACTTTAGGTTCAAGCAAATTCCAACAAGTTCCAACAGCATCTTGGGATGCCGCCAGAGGCACCGCTGAACTGCTGCTGAGCACTTCTGTCAATCTCCTGCTACGCTAGGGTGTGCAAGAATGCCGTGTAGTTGTTTGTGCAGTCAGACCTACTTTCCGTATTACTGTTGACTCGACGCGGGGGTTTGCTCTTTGCTACGCAAGCTCGTCAGGGTGGGTAAGAAAGGAACCTGGAGAGGCACCCATGCAGAACATTGCCCGGACGGATTGGGGCCCGTCATGAGGCATGTGTTCAAGAGGGGGAGGTGGACCCGTGAGGGTCCGGGGGGACGTTAAACTGCATATATAGCGCAGGGGAGTTGCTGAAGGCCCCCGTCCCTAACGAACCGTGAATGAACACGGTACCTTCGCACCCCCTAGTCGGCGTGAGTTGACATGTTGGGTGGCCCCACATGTCACACCCTCGTTTGTGTTTGCGCACATCCTTGGGTGATCGTGCGGTCTCCGGTTCGCCGGACGCCGATCGGTACTCACGTGGTACGGGATCGACGGGCCCCACCTTACCTGGTGTCTAGGTTGGACACAACCTCTGATGACATCGGGGAACAGGCAAGGTCAGCGAACCTCTGAGGGATTCGTTCTCGAGGAAGGGTCAACGTGTTAGGGTCCTGTGTGTACCCCACTGGGGTGCATGGGGATCGCTGACGACTGGGTCACCGACCGGTCCACTCTCTCCTTTGAGAGAGTGGGCTCAATGTACAGTCTGGAGTGAGGACTGTCTGAGTGAGGGCAGTTCGAGCTGTGCTCCGTTGGGACCGGGGACACTGAAAAGGTGTCTAAGTCTAACCACTCCTTCTTTGGTTAGACTTCTCCTGACCTTCGCTTTGCCTTCTGAGGCCTCCTTGCGTTGGTCGGAAGTCTGGGAACCTTCGGGGGCACCATGCGCGGGTTGGTCCTTGGATTGATGGTGATCATCTTGCGTGGCTTCTTGGTTTCCGTCTCCACGTCCCTGTTGTGGTGATCATCTCGGGTGAAATGAATGGGTCAGCATTGCCGCAGCAACGCCTCCCACGATGGGCGCCACCAACCCACACATGCCTGCGATGCCTGCTAAGGACCCAGGCACTCACACACCAACCAAGGAGGCTGCCCCCACCAAAGAAATCTGCCTTCAGGAGGCAGAAGAACAGTCTGGACCAGTGGACACTGAAATCACCCAGCTTGCACCGCCTCCCCCCTCTGGGGGGAGATGCTGTCGGGCCGGAACGGTGCTTACTTGCACCCCGCAACCACATTGTCTGTCTTGGCTCCACTGCCTCCGACCTGCGTTGATTTGTAGTTTTCGATGGCTGACTCAATTGTTTTCCTTGAGCCGCAAGTATCTCGCAACCAGTTCCGGCCAATTACTCGGCAAATTACTGGTGATTATTGTGAGAGTGACATTTGAGTTCTGACCTGCCTTGGCTCTCTGATTGTGCACTGCTCACTCAGGCCCTGCAACACCGTGCTCTGAGCGATGAAGCCTCATTTGAAGTAAGGAACTTCGGCTGCAAAGCTGAATAACCCATCGCATGTCATCGCACGAAGGATGCAACAGACTTCGAAAGCTGTGCTCGAAGCTAATGACAAAGAATAATGACCGGAAGGTGAAGTACTGAGTGCAAAGGCTGAATTCATTGCCCCTTTGTCTCACCTTGTTTCACTCTTTTCTACTGGCTGACGCAGCCGACTTGAGGTACGAACCATGCCTCCTTTTGTGTGGGTTGGGTTTGTTGGTTGGGGGGTTTGTTGTTTGGTTTGGCTTGTTCCGGTTTCGTTTTACCGCTTGGTTCGTATCTCTCTCTTTACTAGCCTAAGGTGACTTGTGCATCCTCTGCCTCGACCCGTGCAAAAAAAAAACAGGCCCTGCTGCGCTTGAATTCCCTCAAGGAATGTCAGCTGTGGGAGGAACAAGGCAAGTATAACAAAGACTTCACGAAAGGGAATGGGCGCCAGCATGTCTCTGGTCATTTCCGTGAGCCAGTTGGCACATTCACTGGCGTTGTCTTTGCCTACTCGAAAATTGCGCAGCAAAAGGGCCTGCGCTTCGTCCATCGAGGTAATTGTTTGTCCAGACACGCACAATTGGAGCAAGTGTAGAAGCTCCTGGTCAGACTTGTGGATATTGGAGACCAATCAGCGCTTGCCAGGAGCGTTTCAAATCGTATCCAGGAGGCAAGACGCATGGGAGCTGCCATGCGGTCTCTATTGGGAATCGTCGGGTGGCTGAGATTCAGGTCAGTAAGTCGGACCAGCCCCTGAGGCAGCTGACAGTGCAGCCAGTGACAATACTTATGCTTGCAACTTCCCATCCATCTCGCGGATTCTTCAACATAGGTGACATGGAGGTTCTGCTGTAGCATCTGAAGCTCCTGGTCACTTGGCTTCCAGTCGCACAGGGAGTCAGCGCCCGCATGGACAAGGTAGTAGTGGTGCCGGTTCTCGTCAGCTGTAGCTACTAGCGCAGCCAGGACTCCCTTGGGCATAGCAATGGCACCTAAACGAGCGGTGATCTGGCAATGCGGCCAGAGACAGCGAATTGCTAAGGCAATCACTGCTCCTGTATAACTACCTGCACTAAAGCCGTTGATGACGAAGTGCCCCGGAGAGGGTTGCGCTGCCTGTCGTAGGTAACCTAGCATTGGGAGAGCAGCCAGGAGTTGCATGGGTTGGATCGAAAGGAGCTTCCACCAAAGCCCACTGAGAAAGGCTTTATGTGGGAGTCCCTGTGCGCTGCGAGCAGGCGAGCAGCGTTCAGGACAATTTGGGTTCGACGGTATAGGACAGCTGATTTCCCAAAGCCAAGGCGCTCCCATCTCTTACAAGGATCCTGTATATGCGAGAACAGGGTGGCAACTTCATGGATGCCTGTAGTACTGCCGGCAGCTACCTCAGTACGTTCTTTTTGGACAACATCTGCCGGCGAAAGCGATGGTCCATAAACCTGGCTGTCACCCACCGGTGGGCATGTGCAATGGAAGTGCGGTGGGACAGCACCGTCAAGAGCGCCCCCTCCCAGGCCGCCGCAGTTAATCTGTAGGAGGTGTGGCAGCGGCAGGGCATCATAGCCTATCCAGAACTGGTTGCGTTGGGCCACTTTCCACAAGAGGTAAATAGCCTGAAAGACATCAGGGGCTATATGCTCCAGTGGCATGACTTGGCGTCGCAGCCGTTGCAACAAAGCTTCGTTGGCTGCGAGGAAGAGCTCCTTCTCCCCTGAGAACAGGCAATCTGGTTGTGCTAAGGCCTTGTCAATCTCATCGGATGGACACGAGTGACTATCTTTATGCCACGTCGGCAAGCAACGCTCTTCTGCTACTTGGTCCCAAGACACAAAGAGCAAGGGAGATGTCAGCTGCGGACTGACAACGCCTTTCGGTTGTTTGAGTGTTGGTTGTTGTTTGTGTGGGTGTTCCGGTTCACCGGTTCAAGTTTTAAACAACCCGTTGAGGTCCCATGAGCAATGCACTTTGGGACCAGGAAGGTTCTGCAAAAGCAAACCTGGAATTTACAAGAAATTTCCTTTCGCTTTTTGTTTTGGGGCTTGCAAAGGGTTGGCCCTTGGAAATCACCGTGGCCGCGTTGGTGGCCGCACCGTTCGTGCAACTTGGTTGGTCTCAACAACGTTGATGGAAGCCCAAACTACCCCCAACAAGGATAAACACAGTTTTTGTGTTCAGGGACATTGGTTTCGGAAGTTGTTTCATGAGTTTTTTGCGGGTTTATGTGGATTTTTTTGCCAGTGCTTTGGTGGTGGATTTCTGGTTCAAGTAGAAAGTTATGAATAGGGCCCCATGTGTTGCCCCTCATGGGCGAATGGCAGAGCAACGAGGTCATTTGGTCAGAACGATTTGGCGCCACGCATTGATGTATAGAGATTGGACAAGTTGATCCTTTTTGTTTTACCAACACAAATTCTTGGTGGCCTTGGTGGCAGAAACACAGTGCAGCTGACAGCGGAAATGTTCATTCTGACACAAAACTCGGGTCGTGTAAGTCCAGAAATCTTGGCATTGAGAGCCATGGCAGGCGATTCACAGGTTTCCTTCCTGCTTCAAGAGTTGGGTCGGGAGACGAATATGCATGAAAAGGATGGAAAAGGACAGCAGATGACCAGCTTTGAAGGCTTTTGTTTTCCCCCAAAATGACAGCCTTTGGACCCAAACTTTCGGCTTTGCAACAGTTGCAACTGGATTTTCGCTCAATCAGGAGCGAGCTTCAAAACAGCAGATATCAGCGCCAATGGCACTTGTTTTTCAATCGGCACGGTGGAGTCGGCCGGTGCACTTGTGACGTCATCGGCAGGTGTTTTCGGCGCTCGAGCAGGTGGGCAACTTGGAGGTGGGGAGTCGGCCGAATTGATGGTGTGGGTTGGCACATGAAAACGTCCAAATCCAACGTGAAAACAAGGACGGAATAAGGTGAGATGTCCTAGTAGCTTCTTGTTCCTAGTAGTGAGGCCAGGAACCCCTAGTAGCGTCTTTGCTCCTAGTAGCGATGCCAGGAGCCCCTAGGAGCTTCTTGTTCCTAGTAGCGTCCTAGGACGGGATAAGGTGAGATGTAGTTCTGATTTTCTCACCTCAGATTTCTTCGATGCAGAGAAACACCAATTCCAGATCCAATCTATGCAATTCGATACCTCCGGTGCCGAGGTCCCAGTCGGAACTTCCAGAGTTTCAGTTTCTTAGACTTAATTTGTGTTCCATTTGGAGTTAGAGCTTGAACTACTATTCTAAACTCTTGGCGACTTTACCCTGCCGGTTCGCCAGTGTTCGCACCCATAAAATTAACTGAAAGGACACCCTGGCAGTGAGGCATAGGCATAGTTGTCCTAGTGGCTCTCTCACTGTGTTCATCGCTACCGCACGGCAGTTGGCTCCTGAAGAGACCCCGCAGACCCGTTTGACCGGCCTCTTGTGAAGCGAAGACCATGCCGCCGGCCGGGATGGGTGCCACTGGCCGCTATGAGGAGGGCTGACTTGGAAGTATGGCCGCATGATGTATAAAGTCACCAATGACAGGCCAAAGCTAAATATGGCGCTTTTCAGAGGTGTTGCGCTTTGAAACCCAGTGACAGCCAGCCTGTCCTTGGAATCGTGGAGAGCACAGAGAATGGACATCTTGGCAAGCCCGAAACAAATTGGGGCCCTGGATTTGAGCACAATGATGCCCCTTCAATTTGAAGACTTGTGGGGGAACCCTCTCTCACTTGTCTTGTGCAGGAGTACAGCCAGTCGCCTTGATGCAGTTCTTGGGTGCCCAGAAAGGGGTGGAATGGGCCATGCAACTTGTGTTGCTTCATGTTGAGCACCTCCGTGGCAGCCTGCAAAACCTCACTTGAAGCGTCCTTGGGAGCTCCCTGAGGGAACTTCTCAGAGCCTTCAGGTGTGGAAGATAGGTTTTGGAAGGGATTCGATTCATATTCTGAAACTGATTTTCAATGACATCCACACTTGGGCAACGAAACATTTGGCATCACTTTGAGGAAAGAGATCCAGTTCATTGAGAGCGAGTTGAAGGAGAGTGCTTGGGGGTGTTTGCAGAGTGAATTTTGGGTGTTCTTGAGAGTGGATTGGGTCCCAAGAGTGCTTGGGACCATCTTGGGAAAAGACCAGCTCTTTTTTCAACGCAACCGATGAATCTATGAGGTTAGAAAAAGAACTGTCTTTTATATATACTAAGTGTTTGCTTGAGTTGTTGAAAGCCAGCAGAACCCTCGAAAACCAAAGAACCACAGGACTGGTTTCTCCAGCGCCGCTTTGCCATGGAGCGGAACATGTCGATGAAGAAGGCGTGCGCCATCGTCGGATGTGGAGGGCCCTGTTTGGAAAGAGGAAAAGGGGCAAGAAGGTACAACGCTTGGAGATTCGTTTGGAGAGGATGCTTACCCTGCGACCCTGTTCTGCACAGTTGAGTAAAGCAAAAGAACCCGGGTTACATGGCTTTACACATTCTTGAGGGTACTGGTGGAGCAATGTGCGACTTGCTCGACTTGGCCTCGTGACTGGACAGGCCTTGGATGAGAACAACTTTACTGGACTGTCTGGGGCTGAGCTTGTGAGATGTAGATGGTGCAAGCACGGAAATGCTTTCTTCGGAGTCAGATGGGGTTTCGAAAAAAAGACGTCTTGCTATCCTTACTACATGTGTTTTACTTTCTTTCCAGGTCACCAAGGATACGTACTTTTCGACCTGAGACCTGGGACACCCAAGACCGGTCAAGTCGTGTGTTTGTAGGATCTTTCTAAAGGGCCCCTAAGACGCCAATGTTCCGATGTCCTAAGAGTTGAGAAGACGGCATTGGCACGTGCCGTGGACCAAACCTCCTTTTGCTTAGTGGGTGAACAATCTGGTGGAGATGTGGCACCGAGTCGGTAGCAGACTTGCCGGGGTAGCGAATCGGAAGCAGATGTGCCAACCACCTCTTGTCGCATGGCAGATGGTGCTGGAGGTGTGTGTTGCTATGCCTATTCCAGAAAGCTTAGGACTTAGGATTGGATCTCTCGCCGCTCGCCCCTCAATTCTAAGACACATGTTCTTCTGATGACGTAGCCAAGAATTGTGATAGTCACTGCCGCAGCGACTCCAGCGCTGGCGCGCTGCCAGCTCGCGCTGATAAGGTCCATGGCCAATCCCAGCATCCCTGATGCGCAGAAGGCAGGGCGGTCGACCTTCCACACCAAACTGGTACTTACATCATACAAATCCGACACATCTCCGCCAAGGAGAGGTCTAACAGCTCCTATGGTTTGTGGATGGTGCCAGAACAAGAACAACGACAACACCTACCTTGGAAGACGTACGAAACTTCCTGCACCCTGGGGCCACGAAGAAGAGAGCTTGTCCCGTTGACTGTGAGGTGATGTGGTCAGACCTGGTCCAGGGCAAGCCAGAGCTGGAGGATTCACTGAGCTCCAACGCCAAGCAGATGAAAGTGGCAGCTTGATGGTCACGATGGTCCCGCTTCGAGGTTTTGGGTTGGAGAAGTGCGAGTGGGCGGTTGTTGAGTGGGGACGGGCAATGATTGGGATGTTGAGAAGCCGTGGACTCCAAAAGTTCAAGGACTCGTAGATTCCACTGTTAATCAGATTGTGGAATACTCTCATGTTGAGCCATAACGCCCAACAGTAGCAGGAAGTGACCTGTTTGTGGTGAGACGGGCAAGAAAGCTGCCCCGGGCAAAACAAGAGGCAGCTTTTGCATGGCGTTAGCCTGAGCCTTGAACGAGATTTCGTTGGGCCTTGGCCATTCTTGGAGCCGCTACAGCGGCCGGAAAGCACCTTGTGAAAGACACTGAAGAGAGAAATAACCTCCTGGATTCCTTTGCGATTGACTTGTAGTCTGTCTTCGCCCCAAACAGGACCCAAAAGGTTCAAAAAGAAGGTCTCTGGACTCCTGGACCTTCGTGGTGATGGAGGCATCTCGGAAGGGAAAAAATGGAGGACTTCCGCCCCTTCACAGCTCTTGGAGTCTTCATAGGGCCTCAACTGGGGCGAAGCTTCCCCCAAGCCTCGGCGCTCCCAACGAACCAAGCGCACTGGACCGCGCTCGCGAGCTCGGGCGCTCCCGAGCTCGGGCTCGGTAGATCTGGATCTGAGGACATGTACACCAAGATGTTCAAGGATTCCACCGAGCCTTGGCTTGGAAATGACTGGAGATGAGAACGAAAACAAACAGCAGTGGAGATGACTTGAGAGCTTAGTGGAAGTGGTTCACTTCCTTTTGACCCTGATGTTTGCAACTTCTTGACGTTTCCTTGTGACGTTTCAGTCTGAGACATTTTGACACGCTTCGCTTTTTCTGGGGTGAGCCACAGTGGTTTCGCCTTTCTAGATATCACTGATATCCAATCCAGAAATCTCAGGATTTGGATCACCCTTGCCGAGTGGCTGGAAGCACCTACATGAGGCGAAGCGAAGCGAACCGAGGGGATTCCGGAGTTCGTTGCTTTCCGAAGTCTGCGGCCGTGGTTGACCGGATTCCGAAGTGGGTTCATCTACGAAGTGGGCGGGCGCAGGTTGTGTTTAAGGATTCATTCAAGCTTCTTTTGGTATGTGAATGTGATCCAATTCAGATCCAAAGCTATCAGGACTCGAACTTTGTTAATTGACAGCGTCTCTTCTGTCTACAGGTGCTTGCAGGAGAACTTCAAGGAGAAGTCCTCGACCCGGATGATGACTCTGGGCGACGTCTTCGGGCCATCGGCCATCAGTGACTGATGGCGTTTCTTCTTGTTTGACGGTCTTTTTTGGGGCTTCTAGATGTCCAGGGACTTTGAAAAGGACTTAAATGGGCTTGGGACCTACCGCAGACCTAACAACATTGTTTTCTTTTTGCACTCTTGACATTGTTTCGGAACTTGCCAGAGGTTTGGCTGGTTTCCCTTGTACTATGATGGTCAACATGAGTGTAGTCCACAGTTGAGACTGAGCTCTTTGGTTGAAGGAGTTTGGACATGGTGTGATATACGGGAATCAAACAAGTCCAATCGAACGGAGTTCCGACATTCCCCTCCACCAGAGGTTGATATCGAAGTGCTGCAACTTGGCCGTGGCACCAAGTTGCAGTGGTGCCGGGGCTCGAAAGCTGGACGAACGAACCGATTAAACAGATTTCTTATACAAAAGACCAATGTTTTCTCTGACTCGTTCTCTTTCCTTCTCTTTCGAGCGTTCCAGTGTTGTCCAGTGTCCAAAAACCATCCACCCCACGGTCGGGGACCCACCGTACGTGTCGGGGGCCCCGCCGAGGAAGTGTCTGCCGTCCTTCGAGACCTTCGACGCCTGCCGCAAGGGCATCATGCAGCAGCAGCCTGGCAGTGGGTGTTGGGATTCGATGGCAGAAGAAATCACTGTCATTGCTTTGAGAATTGGCATCTTTTGACTTATTCAGGTCCATGCTGCATCCTGAGTCCCATGGACGCTAGTCCATCCCCCAAAACGAGAGTCGAGCGACATGGTCTTTGAGCCCAAGATAGGTTGGGATCTCACACCCGAATCCTCCTTGTCACCGAAGAGTCCCGGGACCTCACATCCCCAGATTCAGGAGATGCGTGCCTTGCTTATGAAGGAACGCACAAACGAACGAACGAACAAACACGCGCACACACACAATGTAGGTGGAGGATACAGTGGGAGTGTTTGAAAGAGAGAGAGGGATTCCAGGCAAAAAGCACAGCGGACCGCAGACAAGTGCAGCCGATCCTCAGTGGAAGAGAAGGGATTGCAAGGTACAGGGCCATGTCACCAAGTTAGAGGATTGCCGTTTGAGGATGGGTCTATTTACCAGAAATCTCTGCAGAGGGCGGTCGTCCGAAAGGTTTCGGTCTCCGTTTTCGGTCTCCGCCGCATCGCTCCGAAACATGTCGGCGACTCGATCGGTGGATGCTTTGCACCAAGGCAGGCCTCAGCCCTGGAGAACGCCCTGATCAAGCAGGACTGGTAGGGGGCGCTCTCACCTGGAACGAGGTTCCGAGGGGGCTGGCACCAGAGTGGAGGGTCTTTGGGCGAACCAGTTGCTCATGCCTCCGACATCTGTTCTTGAGCAGCTTCTCCCTTGGGCCCTTGTTGAGCCTTTGAAATGGCTCTGTTCAACGACAGGTTAGAGTGGCATATCGTGACATCCAAATAGATTCAGACGGTAAAAATCCCGCTGGAAGATGCACTGGACATTGTCTGACACTGTATGCAGGAGCTATTGGAGAACTTCTATACATGCTTCATGCTTCTATACATGTGCAGAATGCCCTAAAGGAACTCGTGATGTCGTTCTTCCAGCTTTCAAACCCCGCACACCAAAAGCTTGGCAAAAGATCCTTCTGGGTTTGAGGTCCCATGTAACACCTTCTTAAAACCAGAAAAAAAAACACCAGCAACACCTCCCCACCCCCTGACACCCATAAAAGCCGAATTCTGGAACCCCCGGTGAGACTGGAAAGCCCTCCCCACACCCTGCTTTCCCTCCTTTTTGGGGAGCCTTTTTACCACCATCTTCGGAAAGAACAAACGGTCCACCTCTTCCGTCGATTTCTCTTCGAAACCGGACGTCGACCCAGGGGGATGGGAGTCCAGGACATCGCCGATCGCCGGGCGAAAGCGCTGTTCGACCGCCGAAGCATCTTGCTGGACACGCAGAGCTAGTGGACCATCGTGTCTTGGATGAAGTGGATGAAGTGGATGGTGGATCACGTTCATCGAGGGAGTGACTGTGGCTCATGGCTATGGCTAAGGGTCCAGGACTGGCGATTCGGAGGTCCAAACTGGCCCCAATTCGACCATTCTCTGGAAGTACTTTCACCTGCGAGACCATCCGCAGGAGGTGGCTCATGGCTAAGAATCCTTAGGTATCGAACGTGGACCCCCAGGTTCGCTGTCCACTGCAGCGGCGAAGTGTCCGGTCAGGGTGGGTTGCCGGATGCGGTGGGGTGGTTTTGATGCATCTTTTGGATGGAAGCCAAACCACTTGGCGGCGGTTTTCAGCAGGTGTGGAAGCGGCGAGCAAGCGAGCAGAAGTCGAAAGCAAGCGACCGTTGGATTCGGCGGAAGTGGATGCGGCGGACCGACCGCCCCGGGTCTTGCAGTAGGGTGCTCAAAAAGTACATCCAGCCACGAACATCGAAGATCAGCTAAGCTACAGGAACCCATGATCATTGATTGTGATAGTTTGGTCTTTGATTGTGATAGTTTCATTTTTTCTTGTTATGAGTCTTAAACCACATATCTGTAACTTATGGTGGAGTTCCTGAACACCCTGAGTTGCTTCAT